ATATATATTATATTTTATATATATAATTTTATTTTAAATTGAGGAAAAATTTAAACATGCACATTTCCATAAAACTATTTTATATATTTGTTATTAACCATTTGAATTTTGAAAACAGAAGTTAAAGTTAGCACAAATTCACTAAAACCCAATTGTTGCATAAGATACATTATCTTTAAGGTGTTCTCATATATCTTTTTCCTATTTGATATTTAAGATTCTTTTCTAATTGGAAAATATTTGTTAAAATAATAAAAATTAAAGACATCAAGCTTAAGTTTTCATCATTGGGCATAAACAGATGTTTTCTAATACTAGGGCAGATAACAAGAACTTAATATGCCTATAATTTTGTTAGGAAATTATAGTAAATGGGAGGTTCTGTTTTACTCCCATATTTACTATAATTTCCTAACAAAATTATAGGCATGTTAAGTTCTTGTTATTTGCCCTAGTATTTTATATGGAGGATCACATATATGTGAGTTCTATATATAGCACTGAACAAACTGAACAAAACTGTACATGGGTAGAGGTAGACTGTGACAAAGGCATTTGAGTTTGTTTGGGTAACTATCCTTGGAGCTAATTATCTAGTACAAGGTCAAAACATATAGAATGCATAAAACTTACAAATCATCTTGAAAATTAATAAGGATAAAATGATTGATACTTAATATATTATTCTAATGTGTAACTGTACAACACATGCATAAACAGATATATGTATGTACCTATATAAAAGACCTTGGGGAAAATGTTTGCCTAATGTTTGGACAAAACATTTCTGTCACTGGAGTACTAACATTAAAAGTTCTTACTTAAGTACTTGCCTTACTTAAATATTGTTTATCTATTCCATATCAAATTTATATTTCCCCATTTGTTTGGGAAAGCAGTATATAAAGCATTTCCTCCCATGAGGTAGGACATTAACTTCCATATTTAGTAAGTAAATATGTAAGCAATCGGATGTACCCACCATTGCTCTTTTTTAACTGCTGAACAAAATATTGCAAGAGTCTACATGAAAGATATGTATTTATTTTAAATAAACATGAATACTTTTTAAAAAATGTTGGTTGTACAGTACAAGTAACCTTAGAGGCGATTGTCACTATCAGTTTAAACAAGCTTCATAACAGAAAATGTAACTAAGCACTGCAGTGTTACAGAGTAGGCCCTATTCAAGTTAGCACAACTGTTAAATCTTACTAATGATCCTATCACTACTAAAATACATTAGCACCAATAATTTTATTAAAGTAGGTGATTTATCTAGAATAAAAAAGGGAGAAGAATGTGAATTAAATGCCAAGCGTGTTAACTCCCCTGTACTTGTTAACATTGAATGGGATGCCCTGTAGGCCTTTCCTAGTATCGTTAGCAATAGATTACCTGTCAGGAATATGTATGGCATATTCAAATAAGCACGGTGCATATTTTTAAAACTGATGCGATATGAATCCGTGTAGACCAATTTTAATAGTTCAAAATGAGTCATAATTCTTGTTAACAATACAGTTATTTTTAAAATTTGCAGCAATAGTGCTCTTTTTTATTTTCCTTATTGAAATTAAATGATATGCCTTAGGTGAGTCATTCATCACTGCTGAAAGAACTTGCCTTCTATTGGAGTTCTCCACTTTTTGTCCATATCTAATATGTTTCCCACTGTTTGGGGATTTGTTTTCTCAACATGCAATATTCTAAGTATAAATTTGTGTACCCATGTGGCTTTTTGAAAGAAAGAAGATGTTTGTTAAAACAAAGAACTGCTGATTTATTTAATTTATCATGTAACACAAACAACTGAACAATTACAATTTCATTTTATTTATTAAATAAAGAATTCAGAATTAAAATCATCATTTTTAAAAGAGGCGAAGCATGTCTTAATTTATTCCCTTCACCTTTAAATTAACAGACTGTACATTCCCTCAAGATTTAAAAAAAAATGCATAGTCTTCAAGGCAGCCTAAACTAACTTTCAAAAGAAAACTGATATAGGCATATATGGTGGTCCTTTTATTTTTCTCCTTTTTTTCTTCAAAATTAAAATGTAGGGATTTGTGTGTGTGTGTGTGTGTGTGTGTGTGTGTGTGTGTGTGTATTATATATATATATATATAAAACAATCTGAGGTAATATGATTTGGTGCAACATGGAAAGATCTACTGTTTAACATTTACATGAGCAATCAAATTAATTTTATTAAAGAAGGAAGATTGTAAACATAGTTCTTTAATATTATAATTGAGGTAGACTGAGAATATTTTCTTAGCATGGCTTACAAAATGATTTTATATTTTATCAGCTTTAAATATATACAGATAGTCCTCAATTTACAATCAGTCACATAGCAACTGTATTTTAGTAGTGAAAGAGTTAGGGTTAGTTTTTTGTAAACTTTAGAAACTCTATGGTATAGGATCTCCTGCTTGAGCAAGGCTTGGACTAGAAGACCTCCAATGTCCCTTCCAACTCTATTATTATTATTCTATTCTATATGATTTACCATTCTCTGTGCAGAAAAGTTAAGATTACTGGAGACTCTCTGTTTCTAAAGCATGTACTTTATGACTGCACATGGCATTTATAAATCAATTGCTTTCCATACATTTCAGGTAATATCTGTTAGTCATCATTGATCCCAACTAGTAGCAATCTAGGACTTATCCTCTTGTGCTTCTGCTTTGGATTTTACTGTATTTTATGGATAAATGGAGCATGTCTTGTTAGGTTATGTTATAGTTTGTAGCTGAGTTTGATGCTGTGAATTGTTTTTAGTTGGATTTTTCACAGAGTTTTTCAATCAAGGAGGCATATAATTGTAAGGGTTGGCCTAGATATCTTATTCTTTCTTACTAGACTGTAATGTACAAGCTCCTTGTGTTCTGTTCTGCTTCAACTGCAACATAATATATTTATGTTATTTTATTACTATTTTGAATAAGAATTTTCTCTTTTTAGGTCTCAGGTGTGATCAGTGCAAGTCTGGATATAAAGTCATCCAGAATATTAAGCAAGATGGGTGTGAGCCTTGCCTGTGTAACATCCATGGTTCCATGAACAATTTGTGTAATCCTTCCACTGGACAGTGCACTTGTAAGAAAGAGGTTAAAGGACTTCATTGTGATACCTGCATTGATGGCTTTTATTGGATGGATGCTTTTGGCTGTAAACCTTGTAGTTGTCAAATAGCAGGATCGGTTTCTGATACAGTGTGCAATCCCAAAACAGGACAGTGTATTTGCAAGCCTAACTTTGGTGAAAGGCAATGTGATGATTGCTTAAATGGGTATTATAAAGAATGGCAAAACAATGCTTCATTCTGTGTGCCATGTAACTGTGATAAGTCTGGTTCTGTAAATGGCTCTTTAGTGTGTGACAAATTGACAGGACAGTGTCCTTGCAAATCTGGTGTCACTGCTCTTCAGTGCAATCAGTGCAGGCCCTATATGTATAACCTTACTACTCAAAATATTCTTGGCTGCATGCCTTGTGACTGTGATCCTTTAGGGACACTTCCAGGAACAGCATGTGACCAAACCAGTGGACAATGTATTTGTCAGCCTCACCGCCAGGGAAGAAGATGTGAAAAGTGTAAGCCAGGTAAGAAAAATATGAGCAAAAACATTGTTATGTTTTGTAAATCTCTGTTAAGATTCTGTAAAATCCAATCTTGCAAGCTATATTGTATGTAAAATATTTATTTCCTTCCTAATCTTTGTTATAGAAATCCTCAATAAGCATGTTGGATATATCCATTCACAACAGAAGGAACTAATATAAACATATGCCAATTTGAATCAGAGGCTATTATGCCAAAAGAACATACTTAAGTTAGAAATACTGGCTGGGCAAGACTAATTAGCATATATTTTGCTGGCAAATTACCAGTATTTTATACCATTTATACCATGTATAAACCGTATCTAATAACCATATTGTTATTTCAATTCCACAATTTAAAAATGCACAGATAGCATTACAACATTTGTGTTCTAATGGTCCTTGTCAGAATCAAACCAAGGACTTCACAATTAAGTGACTGATTCCTTGCCATTAGGTTGGTATTCTCCTAAATGATCAATAAATAATTCTTAGCTAGAATAATTTCCCCCTAACCTGACCCTTCAGGTGTTCTAGTGGTGCACCTATTGTCACTGTAATTGCATCCATCCACCTTGCTGCTATTTGCTGTCTTATCTTTTCTTCCACAAGAATGACAGGTTGGGAACATATCATCCTGAACAAAAGCTATCTATGTGGCTATTAAGGTTCAATACTGACTTCATTCCTAATCAAATGTTGCTAAACTACTTATCAGTTGTAGATGGTATATATCGCAATATACTGTAAATATAGATTGATTAACTACTTATTAGCTGAATCTGAATATCATTTGTTCCAAAACTGTAGATTTCATGAAGATTTGTCAGGTATGAGGCAAGGAAATATAAAATATTTTCATTTAGAGGTTGGTAAATGCGTAATAAAAATGCTGGCTATATCACTATGCATGAGTTACATTTATAGAAAGTATATTTCCATATTTTTTGTAATAAAATCATACATCTCAGTTGTTTTAATTTCTACTTAATTCCTATTTTCTTTTAGTGCATTGATTCTCTCCATCTCCAAGATGAACTGCTTAATTTTATCCTAATTTCTTATAAATACTTTAGTAATTTGAAATAGGTGGAAGAAGTATGAAGGAATAGAGACAATAAACTTGATGTTCACTTCTATTGGATTAAATTGCCCAATCAGCTCCTGGATCAGAAGGAGATTTGACTAATATTAGAAATTATAAAAGGCAGCCAAGAAACATTTGCCCATTTTAACCATTAAAAAATACTGGTATGTTTATTGTTTATAGCAGTTCCAGATGCTTTAAAGCAATGTATTTTAAACTTTTCAAGACCACCCAACACCCAACTATCCATCTCATATATATTAAACATATTTGAATATTTCTTTAAGGAAAGGGAAAATTAAATTCATATTGCAAACTCCCTGTCATTTTCTTTAACATTAATCCATCTGTTATTATCCATAATGGAATGTATGAGTGTGTGGGTGACAGCTTATTTCATCAGTATCTCAACTAAAATTCATTAAAGTCTTAGAATCACCAAGATAACATACAACCTATTTCAATATTAGCCTGGTGGTAGCAAATGTATTAAAAACACTATCATAAAAATACTTGGAAGTAAAAGATAGGATGATAAGTCTTATATTTGCTCATTTTTAAAAAGTTTTTAATTTATTTTTATTCTGCTTTTATTTTATTTTTATAAATAACTCAAAATTGTGAACATACTTAATACTCTTTTCTCTTCAGAACAACAATCTTGTGATGTGAGTTGTGGAGAGAGAGAGTGATTGGCCCGAGTTCATACAGGTGGTTTTCATGCCTAAACAGAGACTAGAGAGAGAGATTTCCTAATTTCTAGCCTAGTGCCTTAACCATTACACCAAATATGATAAAAGCTCCTATACATTTTATCACAGATGTTTCAGACTTTTCACTTAAAAATAACTGTAACACTTTAGGATGAAAGTAATGTCCTAAAAGAATGTAAGAGATCCTGTAATTTTTAATTCCAATTTCACTTTTTATTTTCCATTCCTTTAGTATTTTTTTCTAGTTTGTGACACATCTATGACAACACATATTTTACACTGTTTTTTCTTTATTAGGTTTTTATATTTGTGCACCTAGTGAGAGCAGCTGCCTTCCCTGTTTGTGCCATCCAAGTGGCTCAGTCAGCAATACTTGTGACACTCTCACAGGCCAGTGTGTTTGCCATGATTCCTCTGTATCTGGGATGAAATGTGACCATTGCAGTGACAACTATTTTGGATTCAACTCAGAAACTGGGAAGTAAGTTTTTATTGCAAAGCTAAGCCAGTTGGATTCATATTCATATAGCTATTGAAAAGAAGGAAAGTACTTTGAGGAAGCAGTTAAGGAAATGTTACAGAAAATCCAGTTTCTAGTAGCTTTTTATCAGTACCCTGGACAGTTCAGTAATGGATGAATGCAAAGCTTTGATAATACATTTGAATTTATTTATTTATTTGATTTGCCAATTGTTTACAAGATAATAAGTATAAGTGTATACATAGTTGTGAATACATGAAATGGGTACATATAATAAAAATAAAAGAAGAATAAGAGAAACAATAGGACAGGGACGGTAGGCACGTTGGTGCGCTTATGCACACCCCCTACAGACCTCTTAGGAAAGGGGTGAGGTCAATAGTAGACAGTCTAAGGTTAAAGTTTTTGGGGTTTGGGGAAGAAACTACAGAGTCGGGTAGAGTATTCCAGACATTGACCACTCTATTGCTGAAGTCGTATTTCCTGCAATCAAGTTTGGTGTGGTTAACTTTGAGTTTGTATCTATTGTGTGCTCTTGTGTTGTTATGGTTGAAGCTGAAGTATTCATTGACAGGTAGGACATTGCAATGTATGATTTTATATACCATGCTTAAATCAGACTGAAGACGGCGTAATTCAAGGTTTTCTAGTTCTAGAATTTCAAGTCTGGTGGCATAAGGTATTCTACAACGAGTAGAAGAGTGGAGAACTCTTCTTGTGAAATATTTCTAGACTTTCTCAATTGTGCTAATATCAGATACGTAATGTGGGTTCCAGACTGATGAACTGTATTCGAGTATTGGTCTAGCAAATGTTTTGTATGCTCTGGTTAGTAGTGTGATATTACCAGAGAAAAAGCTACGTAGGATTAGGTTAACAACTCTTAATGCCTTTTTGGCTATGTAGTTGCAGTGGGCTCTAGCACTTAGATCATTAGAGGTGAGTATTCCAAGGTCCTTTACAGAGCTTGGGTCATCAACAAGATCTTGACTATTCAGCTTGTATTTTATTTTCTGATTTTTTTTGCCAATATGTAAGACAGAGCATTTATTTGTTGAGATTTGAAGTTGCCATTTGTTTGACCATTTTGATACACAGTCAAGATCTTTTTGTAGGGTAGCAGTATTGTCTGTGGTATTGAACAGCTTTACATCATCAGCGAATAGAACGCAATTGCTCTTGATATGATCACAGAGGTCATTTATGTAGAGTATGAAGAGAGTTGGTCCTAGAACACTGCCTTGGGGGACACCACTATTGACAGGTACAGAATTTGATAGGACACTCCCAATTTTGACCATTTGTTGTCTGTTTGCCAGGAATGCTTCTATCCAGTTATTCAGTTGTCCAGAGATACCATAGGATTTTATTTTTAGGAGTAGTTTGTCGTGTACCACTGAATCAAAGGCTTTACAGAAGTCTATGTAGATTGCGTCTATTGCTTTGCCCTGGTCGAGTTGTGTCGTCCATATGTTTTTGCAGTGTAAGAGTTGCAGATTACAGGATAGTTTTTTTCTGAAACCAAATTGTTTATTGGAGAGTAGGTTGTTTGTCTCTAAGTGGAGGATGATGGATTGGTTAATAATTGATTCCATGACTTTACAGGTGACGCAGCATAAGGAGATTGGTTTGAAGCAGATCTCCAAAATGGCACTGGATTTTGACTTATTTCATATATATATATATGTGTGTATGTATGTATGTATATACATAATAGATATCCATGTCACCTATATCTACATCATCTGTCTCTATATCTATCTATCTATCTATCTATCTATCTATCTATCTATCTATTATCTATCTATCTATCTATCTATCTATCTATCTATCTATCTTAGAAAGGAGGAGGAAAGTGTGGTGGATATGTTTGCAGTCTGGGCTTATTGATAAAAATAATAAAGGTGGGGTATGTAATATAAAATAAATAAGTATCTTCAGGAGCTCACAATAACACTTCCCACTCTGCAACATCACTGTCAACATCACTGTCATGACTTTTGTAATCGTTAAGCTGATGATCATAAGTTGAGAACCATCTATAAACTGCCTTCTGCCATAAATTAAATGTTATAGTTCCCAATCCAGCAGAAGTATGGGAGAAACACTTGTTTATATTTATATTTACATCTGTCTGTCAGTCTTCTAGATTTTTGTATTGATCCACTACCACCAGGGACTAGAAAGGGAACCATGTGTGGGGCAGTTTGAGATGGCCAATAGGGGTGTGGCCCTATGCCCCAATTTCACCTTAATAAAAATGCTATATGTTGGGTGATGAGAAGAGCATTTCTTCTCTCAAATTGTAATAAAATATTGAAAGTAATTTAATATAGTATATCAACATGCTGAAATATCTTACTATTAGGTCTCAGTAACAATAGGAGATTAGCAATTTGGTCTGCTTTATAATGGCTCATACAAGGGTTTCTGAAGTAATATTCTATGAAGTACATTATGTCATTCAACTTGTGTTCTTTTTCTGATTTAAATTATTCTGATGAGCTAATCATACTTGGGAAAACTATTCTCTAATTTCACTGGCTGAGATACTTTATACCCCGTCATCTAGAATAAAAACTAAGTAATAAATCTGTGAAGAAAACATAAACTATAAAATATTGTAAAATGACTATATCACATAACACACTCAATTTTATATATTTCTCAAATATAACATTATGTATTGTTATGTTCAGAGATTAAGCAATCTCTGTTTGAAAGGGGATTTAGCTTGACTTTATACAGATGAAAGAATTTAATACAGTTCTGGGGAAAATACTATTTCTGTGAGAGACTGTGAAAGAAAAGAAATGACAGTGATGTAGTTTTCAAGAAAGAAATAATATTTTTATTATTATTTAGTCCCAAAGGGATATTATTCCATAAAACAAATTTGCAGCTTATTTTGCTGCTTTAGCTTTTATCAGCCTTTTAAAGGGTGTTGAACTCAGGAGATCACACAATAAGAGTTACTAAAAAAACAACCAACAACAACTCCTTAAAAAAAAGTCCTTAAAACTCCTTAAAAAAAATAGTAATAGTAAGACATTATAAAACTGTTTAAAATAATCTGTCATAACTGTCAGTTGTATATAATCTATTTTATGTAAATATGTTGAAATATTTTTTACACATTTAATAAGTTTCTCTAAAGAGTGTTCTGATTTTTTTCTCCAAAAAGAGAGATATGCTGCAGGAAAATAAGAAATATATAAGATATTCACATAGCTTGCTTTGTTCAATTAAAATACCTCTGGGCTTCTTTAAGGTGTCTTACAATAATGAAGTCAGAATAAAACATTTACAAATCTGACAAAAAAGCAGTAATTAAAATTCATTGTTTGAATTTTGATACTGAAAAGCATCCAATTTTAGAAAAATAAAAGCACTAAAGGGATTGCTTGAATATATGAATATGCCTTTAAAGATTCCTTAAAACTGGCTGTGCTAGAGCTCAAAAAATTGTTAGATAGCAACTTGTTCTGTATTTAATGAAGAATGGGGACTCTTACCACCCCTCAAAGGGTACAAAATAAAAGGGGCCTGTTCTTAACCTTAAAATAGGACAGATGATGTGGATGAAAGCATCCCTTCAAGTAGCATGACCCAAAGCATTTAAGGCATTTTACCTCCTTCTAGTTATGGCTACTAAAAACTCATTGCAAAGTTTCTCACCACAGTAAGTTAGGAAATGATGAAAGGAGAATGTGCCTCCTATAATAGTTCAGGGTGAAACAGATCATTGCCTTCCAATAAATGTTTTTTTTCTTTTCCCTCTGATTAAAAAATGTTAACAATGTGAAGCTTTTTCATTATGTGTCATCAAATTGGTGTCAACTCTTAGTGACCACATAGATTGATTTTTCTCAATGATGGTCTATCCTTAAAATTGCCCTTCAGGTCTTCCATTGTCATCCCTTGTCACTTGAATTGAACCCATCCATCTTGTTGCAGTCATCCTCTTCTCCTTCATTCCATATTTCCCAGCCTTAGAACCTTCTCCAGAAATCAAGGTCTTCACATAATTTATTTGAAATAGATAATTTTAATGTGGTCATCTGCGCTTCAAGTGAAAACTCTGGTTCATTTGTTTGATGATCCATTGGTTTGTTTTCTTGGCTGTCCGTGATATTCACTGGAGTCTTTTTCGACGTAAAGTTCATGAGGTTTCTTGTGAAGGCAATGAAGTGTTTCTAGGATTTTCATTTTTAAGCACATTCCATAACTTGATATGATTGACTATTTCTATAATCAGTGATGCACATATTGACTTCTTTTTGATGTTCTTTGACTTTCTCAATTTTCCAGTATGTACCAGCAACAATAATGCCTACTGTTCTTCAGGCTTTTCAAAACCAACTTGAACATCTGGCACCTCTTTTTCATGTAGAGTTCTTATTTGTGTTTCCCCCCCATAAAAATACAAGTGTGGTTTACTATTGCCTTCTTCCGCTGGGTATGAAATAATTACTTTGATCATTTGCCTCTTGATATAATCTTCCTATATTACTGCTGGCCAATAAAGGCTCATCCCTTTATCTAGGCAGTTGGAATGACTTTCAAGCCTTAGGTAATCCTACTAGAAGTAAATACTTTTGGCACGTTGGATGCTCTATGTGCATTTCTCTCAGGGACACTCAAATACCCCCTCGCCTCATCACAATGAGGCAATAAATATCAAATACCATACAACTAGCAAATCATTTTTAACTAGAGTTTTCTTTCCCTGGGATCTACTTAGTAGTCCTGTTTATCAAGAGTTGTTTGAATCCTTTAATATAGCATGGGGACTGGCTTTTTTTTTTTTTTGGCCTCTAGGAACTGATGGTAACATGGAGGTGTGAAAATATCACTAGAGGGAATATGTAAAATCTCTTCTTTTGGGATGGGTGGGGGGTGGGAAGAGATATATTAGAAGTATGAATTAAACCGAGCAGAGGCTTCACAGATGTATGTGCATTTATTTCATTTTTTTAAAAACAAAAATTGTGTCACTGATTGTGTTGTTGGTTTGCCACTGAATTTCATCATTGTGCCCTTGGGGCCATGAGTGGCTCATCCCTGACTTACCAACAATTCTCATCTGAGTAAAAAGCATCTGAGTCCCCCCCCCACACACCCCCACCTCAACATTATGCATTGCTATCATCCATACCATTCGGTTCCAGAAGATATTGCAATCTGTAACAGCAGAGTTATGAGTGGAACAGAAGGTACTTATGGGTGGTTTGGGAGCACTTGTGAAAATTAAATGCTCCAACTTGTGCAAGAGGAAATGCTTTTGTTAACTTTATTGGCTATAGTCCAAAGTTATTAAGTGTTACAGAAGTTGCCATATTATTAAAACGTGAAGTAAAAGCTCTACCCAACAGAGGCTGTCTTCCGTAGATTTAAATTTGATATCTGGTGTGCTAACTTAAACAATGAAATAGTCAGATGAGCAACTGCTACTTTTCAGTAGTCTCAGAGTAGGTTTATTTATTTTCTTACACTGGCTGGATAGAATACTATGTTTTTGTGGGGAATAATTGAGCAGAGTTATTGGAAAGCTAGAGGGAGGGTTTGTACTGGAGTACATAGAGGGAGGGAGAGTAAAGTATGCCATGCTTGTGTAGACTCAGCAAAAACACTGGGTTTTCTGACTGGGCTTCTTGCAGAATATTTCAGTGAAGATGCTTGGCTGGAATTTATATAGAACAAAGCCTGTTGAAGTAAGAAGAGTTTATTTCTGGTTAAGCATGCCTAGAATAATCACTATAGTTCTTGTAAAGCTCCCTTTCTTCAGAATGTCAGACAGCAAGTTATTAAGCATACATGCAACATCAGGGTTTGTTGGTTTGTGGGTGTTTTTTGGATGTGTTAAAATCCATATCACTTGGCAGGGGCTGCTCTATAATACATAGAATGTTACAAATGACAAAACATGAGGGTGTGTGACTTGAATAATTATGGTAACAATTTAATTGCGTAGCAATATAGGTGATGGTAGCCTCACATTGCAACGAACAAGGACAGGCATTCAATTTCACAGCTACTAAGACTGTTGGCCAGGCAGAGACAAAAATAGCCAGAGAAATGATTGAAGCCTGGGAAATGGACCCCTTATCAGTCAATAGGAGTGTTGATTTACTGCTAGCTTATCAAGTACTTAGGAGCTGAGGGCATAGTGACACAAGGAAACAACTACCAACTTACTAGCCATCCATCAATATGCTAATTAACATCCAAAACACAACTACACAAAACCTGGGTGCACACATTCTGGAGAGTTAGAGGTTTCCTGAGGATGGGCTCCAGCATGAGCCTGAAAGCTTTCATCCTAGTGACCAAATACACCTTTTATTCTGGTGACCAACTCAGATTGGATCCTGCAATATAGGTGTTACCATAATGCCAATGCTGTAACGATTGTGGACTATTTTAAATATATTTAAAGCCAAGTGGGCTTCCTATCTGATTTAGTTCCAGAGAACTAAGGTAATAAAACATTTTTTGATTTTGGCTAAGTGACATAGCCCTTGTTGGTCCTGGGCAAGGTTCTAGTATCCTCTAAGGTACCCAGGGAGTAGTTTGCATGGTCCTTTTTGGATAAAACATTTAAGGTTGTGCTGAACTATATTGGACAGTACTATATCTGAATTACTTACACACACGCACGCACACACAGATAATTTCTATCAACTTGCAGAAATTCATCCTCATGTATAACTTTACAATGTTGTCCAATTTCTCTTGTAAAACATAGCCCACCTTGGTCTTTCAAATATTAATTTTCAGGTCAATAAAATTATCTAATATTTAAAGCAAATCATTCAGGTTCTTGATCAATAACCTGGCTTATGTAGCAAAGTAAGTAACACATACATTTTATATTCCTAACATGTATACTTCTAAAATCACCACAATCATTATACATTTAATCTGTAAACACATTTAACAGCCAAGGGGACATTGCACATCTTTGTTTGATTATTCATTTTTAACACTACATTTAGTTAGATAAAACATTGTGCATATGAACTGAGCTCAGAAAGCAACTAGTGATCAGTGTAACTGTTTCAGTACAAGGGTAATATGATGTATAAAGTCTTATATGATTTGGGACTAGATCATTTGAACAACTGTTTATGTCTCTATAGCCTGTTCTACTATCTTTAACTTTTGCAAATCCACCACGGACACATTTAAGATCAGTGGTTAAATGAAAAAACAATGTACAGTAGTGTAAATTTGGGACACAACCCTTTATTTAAATACAGTTAAGTTTTTCCCTACCAGAGTTGAGTTTCTTAAGTTCTTCATTTGTGATACTAATTATGTTAGTTAAAAGAAGCCAGTGAATTAAGCTCTACTGTGTCTAACTGAACTGTTAATGTGTTTTCATTACTTTCATGATTTGTTTTTGTTTATAGATGTCAGCATTGTAATTGTCATCCTGCTGGAGCTATTAATTGGACTTGTCATCCCATTACTGGACAATGTATGTGTAAACAATTTGCAGCTGGCTTAAAATGTGACAACTGTGTTCCCAATGCTAGCAATTTGGATATCCACAACCTATTTGGCTGCAGTAAAAGTGAGTGGTTATCGATTTATATTTTTTTTCAGATGAACGGGTATTATTACTTTAATTATTGTTATAACAATATAATTATAATTCTAAAAATTGATATTGCTCATAATAAAATGAATTAATCCCCCAATATTAATATATTTGGAGGTACATTTTGGAATTTGAAATTCCAAATATAACATTCAGAACCCTCTTGTATCTAGAGATGTTAGAAAACTTTTGCCCAGTCTCCACTTCTATTTATTTAATTTTTATGGATGTCCAACTCACAGCAATGACTCTATGCAGCAAGCAATTGATTAAAACCAACTCACTTTGTTAAAATAACTGAACACAATAAACCAATTGTATAACTGCAATGTAGGAATTACCTTGAGGAATAGAGGTAAGAGCTACGAACAGTCAAATAAAAAATAATTCAGTCTGAGGCAAAAAATGTAATTTGAGAGAATATCTCAGACTTGACCCTCTCTAATTCTCATGAAAATAAAGGGAGGGAGGGGAGATATATACTGAGATTTGCAAGGCCAATGTCAGCCCTTCAAGATAGACTAGACTAGGAAACCAAACCTGTGATTACTAATGCTACTTCTACTACAAGTTTACAGTAATGCGACTAGCAAATGTGAATACACTGAAAGTTTTGTCCTGGATTCTGTGACGCTTTGGATGGGAAAAATAAAGGTTAAACTGAACCCTAGCAAAACAGATATACTATTTGTACATCAGGGTTCCCCTACAGTCCCACTCTGGTTAAGCTACCATCGAAGAAGTGGGTCCACTATTTGGGAACCCTCCTGGACTTTTGGATCCTACTCATTAGCAGGTGGAAGCACTAGTCAAGGACCTTTGGCTGAGTTTTAGTTGGTGCACCAGTTGGGCTTTCTCTGCGATGTAAGGACCTTATTACAATGTCTCAGGCTCTCACCATTTCCTATTTACACACGGGGTTGCATTCACATGGAGTTGCATTCAGAGATAAACCAGAAGCTTCATTTGCTGTAAAATTCAGAGGCATGGATGCTGAATAGTAGTTATTACATTACATCTGTACTGTTGGCCTGCATTGGGATCCTGTAGACGTCCAAGTATAATTCAAGGCACTGATATAAACTATGTATTTTCTGACTTGGCTCCCAAGTTAAATGCAAGGAATCATCCCCACCAATTTGATTGTACCAGGAGAAGCACATGGTTATTTTCCATCTCATAAAATTAAGGGTGTTGAAGGCCAGAAATGTTCCTTTTCTGTGTTACGGATATTATTCTGCAATGGTTTCCCATTAGAAGTTCAATTACCTCTGACATTACAGTATCTGCTGTCCAGAATAAGGTGTACGTGGAATTCTTCCATAGAGGGTGTAACACTCCTATTTGCTGTTTAAGATTCTCAGCTTCTTTTTCTTTTAGACATTAAGGGGTTTTTTTTTGCTTTTGTTTTAATTTTTAAATTTGAGCTGTTGAGAGTAGAATATTAATTTGACAAATAAATAAAATATAAATCAGCTTTTTTAGTATATTTGCAAAATACACTAAGAGGTATTGGGGGAAAAAACACATGAATATGATTTCAAATTATTTAAAAAAGATTTTCACAAGAGTACTTCCTGGTGGTGCATGCATTGCCATGACCCAATTCATGCTTACAAAAAATGTTTCATTGAGTTCAATGGGGCTACCTCTGAATAGAAATGTTACAAGTGTCAAGACCCTAGCAGCCACTAATTAAAAAGAAAACTAGATTCTTACCAACTCTTATTAACTGGATTTATTGAGAGGGAGAAATGGATTTAAAGTACAGAAAACATGGTACCAGGAAGCTTTTATTTTAGCACCCCAATTAGCAAGAGCATTTATACTTGTATACTGCTTCACAGTGCTTTCCAGCCCTCTTTAAGCAGTTTAGAGTCAGCATATTTTCCCCAACAATCTGGGTCATTTTACCCACCTCGGAAGGCTGAATCAACCTAGAGCCTGGTGAAATTCAAACTCAGGCAGCCAGCAGTCAGCAGAAGTAGCCTGCAGTACTGCATTCTAACCACTGTGCCATCGCGGCTCTTTACTTTTAAGTGAGGTGGACATTCCTAGATTTTCCTGCTATCTACTTGTTGATGCAGTGGCGAGATGGCTACTCATTTTCCAGATGAAAGAGGAATGTTCAGATGCAATGAACTTGTAATATTTTGCAAACTGTCATTCTCTTTCTCAGGACTAAGAAGTCCATTATTTCAGGACTCAACCATATATTTTACAGAATTGAATAGAATTCTAGAACTTGGCACACCTCTAAATTACCATCCAGACAATTAAAGGAGCACATAGGTTCCATATCAGTATCAGGATTTCTGCAAACATACCCAGGTCCAGTGCAACTAAAAGAACTTCATCATCCATTTACTTAAACATGTAGAAATATTTATTCCCAATTGTGGTTGATTGTGCATTTACAGACATGGTACTTATTCTAAAATAATATTCATGGTTTTATAAAAGGAATCTGTCTCAGGTTTTCTCTTCCTTGTCCACCTTACTATAATATCTAGGTAATAATCATGAACTCAGAATTACTGGTTGTAGCTCCAATTTCTGAATTTATAAAAGCAAGGCTTTGGATACAAGTATACATTTTATAGCTATTGACATGCTTGAAGATCTTGTGTTCACATATTAGATTGCAGGCAATATTTAGTCTGCCTGGATTTACATAATAATTTCTCCTTTCTTGCTGATTTCCTCTGTCTAATTCTATGTAATTTCCATTATTCTTTAAGGGAGATTATAATCTTATATAGTAGCAGTAAAGTAATTAATTACTACATATATTAGTCATACAAAAAGGAACCCTTCTCTTTGACAAAATTATCATATCTATTTCATCAGTATAACTCTCATACTATATCCTTGTATTCTGTTAGATTAACATTAAACTGACATCAAAAGCAATTGATGGAAATATGTACTGGGAAAATACAATGTAGTATAATTTAAATTTTAAAGATTAGGAAGTAGTTTTCTAAATACTATGAGCATAGCGCTGCTTTATAGCATCAGTAGCGCTCTTAAGAAATGCACTGACAGACGAAAGTGCAGAAGAATCTGAATTGTCAAGGAAGGAAGGAATTTTCAAATGTTATTTGCTGATGCTACTTCCAATGCAAGAAAAAAAAAGATTCAGACACAAAATGGGAGGGAAGAAGGAAGGAAGGAAGGAAGGAAGGAAGAGAAAGAAAGAAAGAAAGAAAGAAAGAAAGAAAGAAAGAAAGAAAGAAAGAAAGAAAGAAAGAAAGAAAGAAAGAAAGAAAGAAAGAAAGAAAGAAAGAAAAAGATGCTGCTATCATTGCTAGTGATGAAGTCACCTTCAAGGAACTCATAAGAGATTTATTCTTTATTGTCTCTCTTCCAATGACCCTATCCACAACTAAGATAAAAAAAATCTTTTGTGTATAGGTTTTCATCCCAAAGAAGGAGTCTATATAAGTGAATGGTGCTAGCTAACATGTCAAGGAAGAAATTCTTAAATTTGTACTAAGGTAGAACAAATAGAAATGTAATTTATTTCTGGAGACTTCCGGTTTGAGCTTCTTTGCGACAGACTGAAACCTCGTCTCTGCCAGGCTTCGATCCATGCTCGCTGCTGGAGCGCCCCGAGCCAGCTGGTTTTGGGGCTAAACCACCCTGTAGAGGTGGTGAAGATGGGAGAGACTGCCTTCAGGGTTGAGGAGAGCCACATCTCTCCTCCCCAGCTGGCCATTACTCCCTTTCCCGAAGGCAGTTGCAGCGGTGGTCAGAAATGGCCACCACAAAGAAGAACTCAACTGGAAAAGAATGTGCAGGAGGAAGATAAGAAGAGAAAGTTTTGGTTGACTGGGTCAAACAGCAAAAGCAACAAATAAGGTACCCTGGAATTGAAACTATTTAAAAAAAAACAATAATATTGTTCCCTAAGAAGATTTTTAAGCTGCGAAGGAGAGAGAAAAGGGAAAAGATTTGGTGTTTTTTTTTCTCCTTTTCCTATACTGACAGCTAAGAGACTTAAGCAAGAAATTGGAAAAAATCCACTTTGACATTAATAGGCATTTAATGCTGAAAATAAAAAGGGGATAATAAAGATTTCTGGATAATCAAAAGTTTTTGAAAACAGGAAAGAAGAGAAAAAGAATAAAAGGGCAGGATCTGGAAGGGAGGAGAGTGCCTGGAATTAAAAAGAACTTACAGCAAAATCTCAACAAGACTTCCAAAAGATACGTTTTAACTGAAATATCGCAACAAAAACCCCAGGAAGAGAAAGTGGAAAAAGAAATAACAAGAAATACCTCGGGACTATTTGGATTACTTGATCATTTCTGGATTTTTGGTTATTGTATTTGAATGACTAAAATCAATCGGGTGGTTGTTTAAAACTGTTTAAAATGGCTCCACTTTTAGAAGAACTGAAAATGGAACTTAAAAAGTACAAAGAAGATGCACAAGAAGGGAGAGGTTCTTTTGCCTTCGTATTTCAGTTTTTAGAAATGGAGATTTGGAATTATGAGAAACGACAAGAAATGCCTGCAGAACAAAAAGATTGCGATAAAGAAAAAGCCATCTTTAATGAACAAGTAATCCTAGGTGGGAGAAAAAAAGGAAAGGGGGGAAAGAGAATGGAAAGTTTAAGATTGGGAAAAACAACTCCAAAAAAAATAGAGTGAAAAATAAGTATAAAATTAGAAAGCAACAGAAGAGGGAAATGCAGAAGAGAGAATTAGAAGTAGAGAGACAAGGGGGTAAGAAGGGGAGGGAGAAGATGAGAGGGAAGAAAGAAAGGAAAAGAAGTTATAAAGGACAGAAACAAAATATAGAGAAACAGGGCCTATTTAGAGATAATGGGTGAAATTTTAATGGAAAAAGGGATTCTGCAAAGGTACATAAGATAGTATTGTTATATTAGAAACAGAAATAATTTTAGAAAATATGAAACAATGTATGATTAAAATGTTTTATAAAATAGCTATCGTAATTCAGTGGAATGCTTGTCAATAAATAAATGTAACAAAATGAATATTTAATGATTTACAAAACATATGTGAAGAGAAATAAGGAAAAAATTAATTATGGAGATTATATGTGTCTTTAAGGAAGTAAGATATTTAATTGAAAAGAAGTGTTAAAGATGTTAAGATTTTAATGATTATTAATGATAGAACTGAATTGAAATGGAATGAGGGTTTATAATTACATATATTTATAATCTTTTTTTTTAAAGAATATACTGTGTATTATAAGAATGTACCAAGCAGAATTTGATTGGAAGTTATATATTATATTGAAGGTCATAAACTTAAGGTATATATTGAAGTTTAAATAAGAGTTGAATGGATGTAATTAAAAGATATAAAGGTGTCATACTCCAATTAGTAACTACAGGAGAAAATTTGTTTAATGAGAAAAGATAATATGAAATTGAAACAGAACAGACAAAAGTATAAATATAATGATTTGAATTGAGATGAGATAATCAAAATAAAATTGAGAAAATTAAAAGAGGGGAAAAACTACATAGAAAATGTAGAATAGTATAAGATATGGAATAGACAAAAAAAGGAGCATGAAATTGAGTTTTGTGTCTGTATAAAGAAGTTCAACCCGGGACCATGCTATTTTCAAAAAAGATGTTTTACTTGTATTTTGTATGTGTGAAAACCCAAATAAAACTTTATTAAAAAAAAGAAAAGAAATGTAATTTATTTCTATAATATGCAAGTTCACAGAGTGTTTCTGTGCCAAGTTCCTTGTGTGTCTAACCTTATTTGGCCAATAAAGAATTCTATTCTATTCTATTCTATTCTATTCTATTCTATTCTATTCTATTCTATTC